GAAATCTGGATCATAGAATGTTGTTTTTCTAGAAATAAACAGCTGAAGCTGAGCTGAAACTTCATCAGGTTAGTTGTTCAGCACCCGTCTTTAGATTTTTAGCATGTTTGTTGCTTCAAACGAACAAAATGCACAAATTACAAATGTGGACTATACCTTTAAGCATTCGTCTTAAGATTTTGAGCACTTTTGTTGGTTCAAACGAAATAAATACACAAATTGCAAATGGTCTACTCAAGCTTTAAGCCAAAACCACCAGCCATTATTAACATATAAACGTCTGTTGAACTGATTTCCTCTTATTTCCTCTTTATTGATGTGTAAATTTGTACTGACTCCAGATGTACTTGTATCATGTATAGTACGAATAAAGAATGTTTTACAATATTTCATGGGAAACATCTTGTGTAGTATTTCAGAAACGATCTCAGAACTTGGTGTTTTGAACATCAGGATATGCTTTTAGTAAGCAGGGCAGCACGCTGACCCACTAAGAACAGTTTGCTGTGTAGCATTCCAAACTGAACGAGAACTTTGCATTCCCTATTTTTGTATGGGCTCCGCGCACAAACAGGATAGGCATTTAGTGAGCAGGGCAGCACGCTGACCCACAAAGAACAGTTTGTCGTGTAGCATTCCAAACTGAACGAGAACTTTGCATTCCCTATTTTTGTATGGGCTCCGCGCACAAATAGGATAGGCTTTTAGTGAGCAGGGCAGCATGCTGACCCACAAAGAACAGTTTGTCGTGTAGCATTCCAAACTGAACGAGAACTTTGCATTCCCTATTTTTGTATGGGCTCCGCGCACAAACAGGATAGGCTTTTAGTGAGCAGGGCAGCACGCTGACCCACAAAGAACAGTTTGTCGTGTAGCATTCCAAACTGAACGAGAACTTTGCATTCCCTATTTTTGTATGGGCTCCGCGGACAAACAGGATAGGCTTTTAGTGAGCAGGGCAGCACGCTGACCCACAAAGAACAGTTTGTTGTGTAGCATTCCAAACTGAACGAGAACTTTGCATTCCCTATTTTTGTATGGGCTCCGCGCACAAACAGGATAGGCTTTTAGTGAGCAGGCAAGCACGCTGACCCACTAAGAACAGTTTGTCGTATAGCTTTCCTAACTCAACAAGAACTTTGCATTCCCTATTTTTCAGGCTTGCAACTGGGAATTTAGAAAAAAAATGAGGAAATTCCAAACTACAGAAGACATTGTACAGTGTTTTTCAATTTGTAATGGCATTCATGTGAAGTAAAAAAACGAGGAAATCAGCGGATCCGAGGAAAAGTTGCATGCCTGATTTTGTATGGGCTCCGTGCGCTCACTAGAGAGGGCGCTTTTTCACCACTTTCGAGAGCCCCTTGGACGGGACACACTTCATGCGCGTACTGGTTGCGGTGCGCATACAGCTCGAACCAGGCACGACTAGTTTTATTCTGAATGTGCACCAAAACCCATAGCGTCTTTGCGTGAGCGTTACGCGTCTTCGGCAATGCGTTCGAATGTCTCTCCCAAGTGGTGTTCCCCAACTATCCCTTTCTTACCGTCGAGTGGGTAATTGTGTACAGAGCCCATAAAAAAAACAAAAAAAAAAGGAACAATGCTCTCAGCTTCCAATATTATTTTGTAACAACCGAAATGGAAGTCAAAACCAATTTACATGTACCTGTACATGCCTTTTTGATGGACCGTAAGGGTCAGCTTACTGTCCTTTTGACAGACTGAGTCACTTACAAACTGAGTCACGAACTGACTGAGTCAACGAGTACCGAGATATTCAGGTTCAACTCGACTAGGTAAGCCTAGTCTTTTTTTATTTCAAATATGAAAATGAAAGTTAAGTTTTGTCAGGGACAAGTCTTGTGTAAATCTCATTGTGGTTGAGATGTCCTCATGAAGAAATAAATAATTGCAAAAAGAAAACTCATAAAATGTCACAGCCCACTAATACCACTGTGCTTCTAACGTGGTAATAATTTGGCGTGTTTTGAAACTTTGAGGGTTTTTTTTACATCATTTTAGCACAATGTTTACATTAACAATTTAAACAAAGTCTTCCCATACACTTTAGATGGTCTCATTTCAGAATATTTAAACGAAAAAGGGATGGAAATATGTCTTCGCTTTGGTAGTGAGCGTGCTCATTGGAAGTCATTGCAACCATCAACTGGTTACCTTCATCAAAATCCTTGTCAGTTTCTATAAAAAAAATAGTTCAAACATCCTTTCTTCGGATTGTTCAATGGCCACACGTCATAAGCTACCAAAATGTTCAGTCTTTATTTTTAATGTAAACAAACCCCGACAGTCGGTGTCTCGTAATAAAATGACGTGCTTCTTGGGAAGAAAAAGCAACAATCATAAGTGAGTCGGTGATCAAGCCCATTACACATCAAGCCAAAACGTCTACTGCCATCTTTCTAATATAAGAACATTGCACAAGTGCCCACTGCAAGGACGACAAAGAGATGGCCCCATCACAGGTATAGCCCCATGAATGTGGCTCAATACCGGACATTCTCCGTATTGTGAGCCACACAGTGGTGATAGCAACGTGAAGAATAGTTGTTTTTTCTTTCACTTAATATTCACTGTGGGAGATACTTTAAAACCAAGGAAAATCAAAAGGTCAAAAGTACATGACCCACGATTGCCAGAAAAATACTGCAATCAGACTTTCTGCAAATTTCACCAGAAAATTACAGGCTAACTAGACGTGTACAGGAACGGAATTCAATTTTTCCTGGTAAATAACCAGGGGCAAATTTCACTGCGCTGCTAAGCACAAAAACTTGCTTAGCACAAAAAAAGTCTGGCTTATAAAGGCAGGTTACCAGCAAGAACTCCATGTGATGTACATGTACATTGCTCGTGATTAGTATTCAGCTGTTGTTTGCTTAGCATGAAAATCACATGGAGTTTTGGCAGGTAACCTGCTTTTATAAGTCAGACTTTTTTGTGCTAAACAAATGTTTGTGCTTAGCAGCGCCGTGAAATTGGGCCCAGGTATGTATCTTCCGTAGTGAATATCAACTAAAAAAACAGTCCCGATTTCGATTTCCTCAACACAATTGTTCCTCGCATGTTGTTTATTACCGCTGTGTGGCTCCCAATATGGAGAAAGTCCAGTATTTGAGCCACACCTATGGGGCTCTCACAAGTCCATCACAAGTCCGATCAAAAGTAAATCACAAGTCTAGTCACAAGTAACAGAGACATTATATGAAGCAGGTACAAATACACCTAATGAAACCAAAGTGTTGCGTCCGACTGTTTTAATACAATCCATAAATATTGATACTTACACAAAATTGTTCTCAATATAAAGTTTATTCCATGGGTACTTGCATAGATTCCATTACAAGTTCGGTAACAACGAAATCAAAGATCACTTGAGAAGTTCAAGCACAAGTAAAAAGGGATGAACAATAGGTATGCAATTGTCGCAGTTTGAAAAGCTTGCGATTTGACTTGTGACTGACTTGCAAGAACTTGTGATGAACTTAAGAAGAATGACTTTGGGAGACAACTGTTCCTGATGACACAAAGTAGCTGTACTTGTGTAGCATTTTCAAGTTTTCTGCATCTTCAGATGTTCTTTGACATTTACAAACTTAAAATAACAAAATATCACTGTTAAGTCTGAGCTTTCTCAATTAACTGTAGTTCTGTTCATCAAAAAAAAGACACTTCATTTGGTTTCATTTCGATGCATGCATGTATTAATCAATTTAGAAACAAAATATCTAGGAATCCCTCGGGATAAAACTACATTGCACCAGGCACTGCAGAGACTGTACAACAGAGTGAAATTACAAGTATCGTCTTTCTAGAAAGTGGCACGCCTTCTCGTAAAAGCAAAACGTGAAGCCCACAGTTCCGATGGCTTTGAGTGTACTCGGCCAGAGTCCTTTGTACATGCCCCTTATGCCTTCTTTATATTTTCCCCCTGACACTGGAGAGTTTTATTTGTACGGGAAAAAAAAGTTACTTTTTTGTCATTTTGGCGTCTACAACTCTCTGGGGGGAAAAAAAGGGTTTTTTTTTTATTTTGGATTAGCCTATACTTTTGCACACAAACAGATTCGCCTAACAGGTAGACTGATTCTTCTTGTTCTCTCATACTTGATTTAAAGGGAAGGATGGAACCAGTCTGCCTTGTGGGAACTGAATTATGTTGGCCCGCAGCAGTTCGAAATTCTTTAAGTAATAATTTAGTCCATACCTTAACGTGGGCCGATTTTTTTGGGGGGGGGGTCGATGTCTCTAAATAACATCTGTATCGCTAGTGAAAATGGCTAGTTAAAAACAAAATGTATCTTCGGCCGTCGGACGGAGCTAGCAGTACAGTACATCTTGGGTGTGGTACCTTCTCTCGAAATTCCAAAGAGTGAAATTATAGAGGGATTAGATGCGATTGAGAGTGAAAATCACTCTAATTTTAGATTGAAATTCTCTGTGGGATCACTTCAGTCCAAACTCGAGTTAAAATTCATTCCCAAGTTTTAGTCGGTGGGAGTGAATTTTTATTTGAATACAGTTTTGATTTTACTTTTGGAATAAGACAGTTCGTTTGTTCAATGTGGGGATAGATCCGTGGTTCGTTTTGTTCAGCAGAGCACATGTCAGAGTTGTACCGAGTCACTGAATTTTATGACTAGAGTCGGACACGAGTCGAGTCATTGACTCGAGTCATTACAACTCTGGCGCGTGTTAGTGTTAGGCAAACTTGAAAATGACAGCTTTGTCCGCCGGAATTTTTAGACATCAAATTGTACGAAATTATCATCTGCGTTTAGCCTTTCTGCTATATAAGCAGCTTGCTCTTCGCAGAATTATGTTTCAGCAAAGTGAGCTCAGTATGTTCGCACCAACGACAAAAATGCAGACTTTCACACGCCAGTGAAGGTTATACCGAACCATGTTTGCATGTGTCAATAGAAACAAAAATTTTGAGTCGAAAGTTACAAACAAATGTCTTTTTTTCCTCCCAGTTTGTTCGGTATTCACTGAAGCCAAGTTACCACGCACCTTCAAATTCCTGCTGGAACCCTTCAGCATGCCTTTCCGGTTGGACTTCGATGTGAAGATCAAGCAGGGTGCTAGCATAGCCCTGGCTGAGCATAATACTGACGAGTCCGTCTTTGCCGAAATAAGTGAGTAGAAAATGCCTATTATTATTATTTCCTAAAAAAGCCGTGCTTTAATGACAGTTCTGTAACGACTTGTATAAGGACGCCACAAACAAGTGTCTACAGGGTGCATGAGTAAAAAAAAACAACGAAACCCCATGTTGGGACCATTGTTTTAGGGAAGTTCTGCATGTAGCACTTTCAAAATCGAGGATATAAAGCCCAATTCATAGCTGCTTCATAAAGGTTCATGCCCGTAATAAAATCACAGTTTTGCTCATGAATGCAGCAATTCGCATTATCAAAAAAACCAGAAAGGCACCTAATTACCCTTCAAACTGGCACAATAAAAAAAAACATTTAATATAAGGTTAAATGGGACACAAAGGTGCATTTTCAAGGATAGCATTTAAAACAAGTTACAAGACATGGGCACTTTCGGTGTTTGGCCGATCGAGTGCTGAAATAACCTAAAATTGAATGGGTCAGGTTTTACATTTTTCCTCTCTAGACATCGGTGGGAGAGTGAATACCTTGGCGAACGTGAGACCATGCTACTTGATCTGTCTGGATATAGTGGCTACACATGAGGAACAAGGGTTGGTCAACGCCAGTGAGTACCGCCCTTTCTGGATCGACTACAAAGGGGGCGTGGTCAGAATCGGTAAAGGAGGACAGGAGGCGGCTTTCGTGGAATGGGACGCCGGTGCATACCACCAGCGAGTTCCGACTCGCGTGCACTTTGGTGTGTCTTCATGGGGCAATGCCGAGGGGTACTGGAAGCTTCACCAAAAATGTGCTTAGTTCACACTATTCAGTTGAAATAAGCATATACGTCACTCATTGAATTAAAGGCAAGATCATTTGCATAATATCCCAAAGTGACCTACCGAATTGTCATTAAGAAGCTTGATTAAAGATTGTAATGGTACTAAGCACCCCGTGAAATTATCTCGTTTTTGGCTTGCTGATATGTAAGATATGAGGAGTCCATCGACTGATTTTTGGAAATAAAGAGTTATGTTATAGACGAAATTGTGTTTCGGGATCAAAAGAGAGTGCATAGTTTTATAGAGTTTTCTCGAAAAGTGTAATATTCACTGAGCTGGAACTTCAACAGCTGATAGGTTCTGAACATGTTTTTTTGGGGGATTTTGTTTGGTGTTTTTATTGGAAACGAACAAAATGCATGAAAAGCAAATGATCCTAAAAAAAAATATGCCTTTAAAATAACAAGGTACATGTACATGTATATATGTTTTCTATAATATAGCAAGTTAACTATTGTTAGAATTTGTGAAAATAATTCTGCATCATCAAAACGATGTGTGTGTATAAAGGTTATAACATTGTGGAGTATTACGGTGTAGGTTTTCCTGGCTATTTTAAAAGATTCAAATTCACCAACTCTATAACATTCAATTTCGTCCACGAAAATGTTCCACACACTTTTACCAAAACCAATAGTCATTTACCATTCAATTTCAAAGTTTGGTCACCCTCTTTAGTCACCGGGTCGAGAATATTCGTCATTACAGATCAAATTCTGTTGCCGAATGGCAGCATCCAGAGATCGAATTCGTCTTATATCAATCAATAATATAGACGAAATTGATTTCTGAATAACAAGGTTTAGCGAAGACGAGCCGAAATTGAATACACCGGGACGAAAACGCGTGCTCATTGTTTGAATTTACTTGAACTGAATTTGAAATTGCCTAACAAAAGACGAAATTAAACATTGGAAGTGCAATTATCAAAACGGTATGATTAATGTTTTGAACTAGCCGGAAAAAACCTATATTAAAATTACAAGTAACTTTAAAGTTTAAGCAAATCAAGCAAAACGAATGCACTTATTTTGTACAGAAAGTGTCAGTTCAGTGCTGTAGTTCCACATCTACCATTGAGTGCCAATGTTTCCCTGTCCTGTGAAATTTCATGTAACATCGCACTTTCAAGATATTGTAAAGCAATCTCCTTCATTAAAAAAACAAAAACTATTCGATTTTCAGAACAGCAATCAATGTACCTGCGCTTGATTCCAAAGGGCGGATCCAGAAGACAAAAAAGTGGGTCCCAAAAATTAGGGCGTGGGGTTCGGGGTCCACTTAAAGGCCCCGGAATTTTATTAGATTCTAGATGCTCTGTGGTGCGATCTGAGACTATTTCTGACCACTTAAACTAATTTTTCTTTTGGAGGAAAAGATGGTGGTGTACGCAGTGCCTGCCTCTATTATTATTATTGCGACGCCACCAGACAAAAATTGACGGGTTTTTTTTTTTGGGGGGGGGGGGTTGGGTTGGAGGGGGGCATAGCCCCCGTTGCCCCCCCCCCCCCCGATCCACCCTTGTTGACTCCAATAGAATATATCGCGCTTTCGAGTGCGCCACAAAAGGTGAAATATTAGGCCTATTCAGGTCATAATTTTTTAATTAAAAGGCATATAACCGCATTTAACTGCTTTTGTTTCATTTTCATGTTAAGAAAGACTCGATAATGACATTGTGAATAAATATCTGAAAGACGTATCATTATTTTCTTTGGGTACCTACATTTTTCTCGTCATTATCATGTGAGCACCTTTGTGTTTCTGAGGAACATGTTGTACTACTCGGGGAATTATATTATTATAACCATAATGCGCATGCATCTCTTGATAACGGAAGGGTATTTGGACTGAAGTTCCTTTTTTTTTTAAACCTCCAGAGCCATGAATGAGAAGAAGAAGGGGCAATATATTTTATCAATCATCAGGACTTGATTAAACCCAATTTAGGGAAGAAAATTATGTTTTATGCGCTCAGCGTGCTTATAGGCAACAAACATAAAAAATAGAATATAATTATATACATGTACTAACATGTCTCAATATTCCGAATCAGGTGACGTATTCATTAGTTTACGTGATATGTTTCACGCATGCGTATTACGGTCAATGACAGACTGACTTTACCGAGATGCCAAAAAAATATTTGCTTGCAGCAAAAAAAGGTCAGTTTTCTTCCAAAAGATTTGGTTATAGTGGTCTCGGAAAGAAATAAAGTGGTAAAGAAATAGCCTCAGATCGCACCACAGCGCATGGGAGGGGGGCATATTACAAACTAGGGAAGACCACTACCATAAACAATACAAAAATACCTGTATGGCTTTTGCCGTGGGGGGGGGGGGTAAGTTCGCCAAGAGGGGCCCGGCCCCACCAGGCCACGTCCACCCCTATAGATTATGTTATCATTTTCCTACGTCAGGAAATTTCAGGATTTTTTTATTTTCGTCAAACCTCAAAACGCCACCCATGAATGCACTCGACTCGGTAATAATTGTTAGCATCGGCTATAAAAGTCTAGGCCCATAGTCACATGAGAGTGAATTATAATTGCATAGGCCTATACTGAGCGGCTGGAAGGTCATAAATGATTCAAAACTAATTTTGTGCAATTGCACCCTTAAGCAAAGTCATAATAACTACGGGAACTGGTACCTTTTTAGGGAAACATTCCGATAGACTTGTGCACAAGTTTGTGTCACGGTCGCGCACTGTACATGTACTAGCCTGGGGCCGGCACAGGTGTGACAGATAATTCTGTCCCCCCTGGTAAATGTGTCCCCCAGACACATTTACCGGCTCGTGACCCGGTAAATGTGTCCGGGGGACACTTTTACCTAGGTAAATTTGTCCCCCTCCAGGTAAAAATGTCCCCCTGGTAAATGTGTCCTCATGCAGTATGTACTGAGAGCAGCAGCGCACGCGCCAGTACATGCTGCAAGATTTGAGGCAGTGATTATAACATGTGTACATAAGCGTCTCCCTTTACAATGGAAATTCGTCCAATAGGAAATTTCGTTACGCGCTATGATGGGAACACAGACCAATCCAAGGAGACGTTGTATTGTATTATACTATCAATGAGACGAGGGCCATCGCCATGCATCGCCGCTGTGTTGACCCATGTGTTTTAAGACTCCATGTGTTTTATAGCTCCTCCGAATCGAGACACTGTGTTCACGTATCATCTAATACTAATAGACTTAATTAATTATTTTTTTATATTCATGAAGGGCAGACTAAAAGTCCAAAATGTATACCTTGTAGAGTGAATTTATCAAAACAATAACCTTCCGGGTTTCAAAAGAGGGGGACAAAAAAACCTGGGGGACAGAATTACCTGGAGGGGACAGAATTACCTGGAGGGGGACAGAATAAACGGGCCAGGGAGGACACTTATACCTAGGTAATTCTGTCCCCCCGGACACTTTTACCGGGGGACAGAATTACCTTCCACACCGGGCGCGCACTAGCTTGGGTAAATATCTGGGGGTGGGCGCGTTCCGCCGCCCCTGCAAAGAAACTTTGGAGTTTTGGGGCTTCAATAATTATCGAGACTTGAGATTTTAAGAATATGTCTTTTGTACGTTGTATTTGTATGACGGCCCAAAATCGGGTAACGGTGTCGAACGGTGCAAGAGTTCGCCTCCCTTCTGTCTTTATCAGTCCAATTCGTCGGTTACCTGAAGTAAATATTAAAAATTACTATTACTTCAATAAATGGAATTATGGAAATGTCATGCCTCAAATTAACTCATATCAAATGGGTGTCGGTCACTTTGCTGAATGTCCACTTTGCAGAGCGACGTTGACCACTACTTCGCCTTCATCACTTCATATGTACTTGCATGCATGGGCGCCATTTCCAAGATGGTGGCAGAATGTGAATAAGGCTTATTGAGCAATGTAAGTGGTAATTCATAGAAGAGACTGTAGCCTAAATTAAAAAAAAATCCCTGCCAGTGCTTTCCTTGCCTTCTCTATCATCACTATCAAAATTATGTCTAAACAAAAATTAAAAAAAAACAACCTGGGTCATGTACCCGAACAGGTTGCATACTAAGCCTGGATTAAGGAATTAAACATAAGTAATAGGCCAAATTCTGTCATTATTTTGTCACTGCAGAATCAAGAGTTAAATGACTAGTTTCTAGTGAGTGGCTTGCAATTTTGCATCATGTGCAGACCAGCGCCGACAGCGGCCTTGAGTTTTTTTTCCATTCATTTAATTTTTTTCTTGTGTCTTTTTGTTGTATAATTTACTCAAAAAAAAATTACCAGCTTTGATGTAGCTATCCAGGTGATCTCTACAAGTTTCTGGGAGGCTTGCTGGGCCATCTTCCCAACCCTCTGTCAACTTCCCGTCTCCGGCCGCGGAAGTCGGACCATGCCACCATCGAGAATCAGCTTCGCGCTCTTCGATGCTTCGATTTCTTGCTCGGCGACTTTGTCGGTGGATTTCACGGGCAATCCAAGCTTGTCAGCCCAGAAAGCTCGCTCCGCTAGTTCTGCGCGTTTTTCGTCGCCAACAGGAACTCCTCTCTCTCTTAAATATTTCTGCAATTCGTCAACTGTTAAGGAAAGAAATTTGTCGTGTCCGATTGTAGCCATGATGGATTTTCGATTGAATTGCGCGCTTTGCGCGCTTCAACATCCGGGACTGCAAATTTGCAATGCTCCGTTCTGCATCCCATGATGCTTTGCAAGAGAGCGCCCTCAGTCGGTAAAAAGCTATTTGCGATAAACCTTCATTACCTCTAGAGGGCTTTATACAATAATTGATTCTCATCCAACAACATCGGGAGTGGAGAACTAAACTAGGACGCGTAAAAGATGAAAATTCTGCGGGTAATGTAGTCGATCGAAGGCACCATATGGAATAGTAAGTAAGGAACCGTCATAACTTACTTTAACCCTAATTATCGCCTTTAAGCTTGGATGATCTGTTGCAACCTGACGCCACTAACGGCCACTTCATCATTCATGCAGTCTGTGTAGCTGGAGTTACCCAGCCCTGAGTTTTATCATTGGGTTGTCATCTAGGGCTGGAGCGCATTTTTCTCAAAACTTGTACTAGTATTTGCAAAAAAAAATTGGAAAATGTTCAAT